CAGGCCCTGGTCCAGCAAGTCTCATTGGAGCGCGATTCGACTGCACGTTGTAGTCGATACATACGATCTCTTCTTTGTATCTTTCACTTTTTGTAAGAAATCTAACTACTTTATGTGATGAAAAGAGAGTCGAACTTCTATATATAATACATATATACATGCACATATATATACACGCATATGCACGTGTGTATATGCATATGTATGTATACAAGTGCATATGCATACATATACATGTATATATAATATAGTGGTCGGCTAGTCATAATTATAAATCTATTCCGGCATTCTACCACACTCTGGATAAAATCTGTATATACAATAAAAGATGAGAAATGAATAGGACAGACGGGGAGGAATAAAATGAACTCATTATCACATGGAGTGACGTGGCCGAGTGGTTGTGATATTGGTGACGGCACGCTTGGAGCCAAGCTCTACCCCCCCGCCTCTTCTCTCAGCAGTCAGCAACAACGTCCTATGGAACGCCATAATGAGGCTATCGTCGATTGCAAGGAGACCCGCTCAACCATTATCCTACGCCGTTCAGTAAGAAGACGAGAAAACGAATTGAATGCTAGAAGTACTGGGATCCGCACAGTGAAAAGGAAACACTGTGATGACGGATCAAATAAAGTCATAAAAGTCACCACATAAATGCAAACGAAACAAGCGATTAGCGATCGATTTCTGCCGCATCGAAGCAGTCAGCTCGATCTCCAAAAGTGTTGCTGCGATCCGACAAGTTACGCAAAACTCTCAGGATGCAAACTGGATGGAAAATAAGTTCTGAAACTCACAAAAAGACTAAGTAAAGACGAAATCACTCACAGAATGCCGTAAGGCTACAATATCGCTACAACGGCCTGTCACATCGTCGCGCATTCACTCCACATCATCGTCAAGAGGGCTGCCCCGATTTGTGCCACTTTCACCTTTGATAGAGCCTTCCAGAAATGGTGAACCGAGTAGCGCAAGAGGTAATGGGCGATGAAGTAACTGAGTCTGTAGTTCTGGATCCGAAAATCTGGATAGATTTGCCTCAAAATCATCAGCATGAGATGTTTGAATAAAGAGTACCGTCGTACCACTTTTACAGAGGACATATGTAAGTAGTATAACGGTAATGAAACTAAAAAACCATTAGCACTTTGAGTATCGGAGAGACACGACGCTACCGTGACCCGCCGCGCTCGCGTAGACCACTCCGTCGTGCCGAGTGCTTATTACAGCGGCCATTAGAAAGGTCGCTGGTTCGATCCCTTTCCACGACACTTCACAGTACTTTCTTTTTGTTTTCGATCCAGTATGCACCATATCACTAGTACACCACATCTTATATCGCAGTACCGTAACACAGCAAATTCTTCATTTAAACCATTTGATCGACAATTTATTTTGTATGGAAAAGTAGTGAACTGTTAACAACTTGGCTTTATTATGATAATTACGTATACGGAAGAAGGTTCAATACTAATCAATACCAAAAAGTCTGCTGCGAAGCGTCGTGTTAGGGATCGAACCAGCAACCTTCTTTCTGCTGGTCGGAATAACTAAACACTCGACACAATTGGAGCGGCGGGGCGGGCTAGCGCCGTGATCTTGTGGTACACAAAGTGTTAAAGGAATAACTCAATTCACTTATCACTTTATTTACCCGTATCGCAATTTCTTTCTACTGTACTGTCTCAGTATTTTTGCATTCGAGTCGTCTCCTCGCTTGCATAAGGATTTCATCTTCTTCACAAACGTCGTGGAATACCGATTGAACACTTCTCCGTGCATCTTGAGGATAGCCAAGTTTGGGCGTTTCGTAGGGTGTTCGTTATTGATTGCCGCCGTGCCAGCGGAGAGGGGTGGAAGATCAACCGAGCATCGAGTCGCGCCGAGCATCACTAGCCACTCGGCCGCAGGCTCTATGGTCTGTTCGACAGGCAGAGATCCCATGCATTCGCTGAGAACTAGACCAGAACATTTCCTTATTGTTATCGGACGTACTCCAACAATTTCGTGAACATGAGGCCCCACGAGGTTCAAGAATCATTTGGACAACTTTGCTGGCTCATTGATCCCCAATAACGAGGTCGAGGACCGTCAGAAACGAGTGAAATGAAGCAATTCTCAACATGCAAATAAACAGTAACAATTAGTACTAATTAAGGACTATCGAACAGCAGTATATAAGCAATTTGTTGAAGGTTGGCGGCCGATTTAAAGAAAGAGTGGTGGTGAAGCGGCGACCTCCGTGTTGTAGTGGTAGTACGCACCGCCGGTATGGGTGAAACGCGGGTTCAACTCCTGCCTGAGATCTAACTTGTGCTCATCACTCAGTTCTCTTTGATGTATTTTGAGCATTATAATGCTGCGAAAAAGCAGTAAATCAAAAAGAAATTCAAAGAATCACAAAGGATAAAAGTCACCGAGATCGCCGCTTTGAGTGATTGACTGGAGAAAATACGGACGCAGTGAGAACGAAATTTGAACCGCAGTGTTCCCGCCAAACAATGCGGTGTAGGGCGCCATCGATTACTGCGGCGATGTTTTGATCCCCGCGAACGCGTTTGAATTCGCGTGATTGCCACTGGTCCAACGAGTCTCACTGGAGCGCGATCGGAATGCGCATTTTAATTAATACATGCAGTCTCTTCTCTATATCTCTGCACATTCTAGGAAACAAATCTAGCTATTATATGTGATGGAAAGAAAGAGTCGAATTCCTATGAGTTATTGAAGCGGTGGAAGTTCTGTAAAAAAGCAATCAATAGCTTCGCAAGTGAGTGAGATCTGCTGCGGGCATCCTCCTGCGCGCTATAGGACTTGAAAGATTAAGGATTAACCTCTCGAAGTTGATCAATCGCTCAGCGATGCGCCATGGATTCGCCTCCAGTTGTAGTTTCGTTCGAAATGATTGAATGGGTACTCTGGCCCTTACGATGACTCGCAGTGACCTATCGATGTGTCAAGTCAGTGCTGCTATGCTCCCACACAAATCTGGTACTTAGTGTCCCATTCGGAAAGTATACAAAGTTTGTTGAGCCATGAGCGCAAAATCGAATCATCGACAATCAGTTGGTCAACCGCAAGTGTGTCCTGGAACGACTCTAACCACTGCTGACACACCACTCCTGAATTGGATAACTAACGTAGTTACCAGTACCTCCATTAATATGGCGCAGTGGTTAGACGTGCTCTGCGTCGCACACGAGGTCAATCGTTCGTCTCACGCTCATGGCTCACCAAGCCATCCATTCCTCCGGCGTTGGTTAATTGATACCAGTCTGGTCTCAGGCTTGTCTGGGAGGATAAGCAGCACTGACTCAGAACAGCGGGGAGCCACCTCGAGTCATTGTGGAGGTCAGATATGCATTTAATCACTTCAGACGAAGCTAAAAATTTAAGACGAATGCATAGCAGCATCCATCAGGGATTGATCAACGAAGAAAGCTTTCCCTTTTATCCTTTACGCCAGTGCGAATCCTTCAACCACAACTCGATCAGCTGTCGGGAATTTTTTCGAGGGTTGAACTTTCGGTGGCATCATGTCTGTCAATGATGTTAGTGGGACCGACTTCTTGTGAACAGTGATGAAAAAGGTGGGTGGTCTCAATGCAGAGCAAAACATGGAAAGCTATCTTGTCGTACTCGCTGGATCGGCTTGAGCGATGGTGATTGCTAGGATGAAGAGCAGTTTGGCTCGGAAGAGGAGAAAATGACAGGCAAATTCACTTAGTCAGGCTTAGTGGCGCTTTGCGATGACTTACTCCTTCCTAGAAACCAGTCAGATTGTGACGGGGAATATTCTGTTTCTGTACATAGACCTTCTCAATTTCTGACAATTGCACTTCATTTAAGTGATCTGGCTGAAGAATTAGACGTACTAATAGGCAACAGAGGAATTCTGAGCGAGAAGTTACCAGCGTATACGACCAAAAGCAGTGACTGACTATAATGTATTCTATCTTCATTGCATTGGCACATCTGATTATAGCTTTAGCTTGGATGAACAGCCTCTTATTACACGGCTACCAAAGGTCACATGAAAAGCGTGCTTATCTTCAAAGATTTTTCAGCTTACACGGGTTAGTAGTGTTTTCTACTCGCCTAGTCCATTGATCCATCCGAGTCCATGGCCCGCAGTCGTTCGTAATCCTCGTGATTGTAGCCGTGTCCAGTCAATAATCTACTAAACAATTCGATCTCAGAAGGGGCATCGGAACGTTAATTACATAACAAACGTACTAACCTCGCGTAAGCTGAGAAGTCTTTGAAAAAAATGAAATGATTGCTGACGCTCACGTTGAGTAATGAATGGATTTTTATGGGCACTTCTACAATGCAATACATGTGTTTTGGCCCTGTAACCCCGCCAGTTGCACGGTACCTTTCGTCTGAGCCGATTTCTTCCTAGGAGGGAACCCTTAGATAAAGGACCCTGCCGTGTAGAGTGAAAAATCACTTCGTACACGGCAGAGATAACATATCACTGCATATACAGCGACTAGATCACCGAACATGCAGGTGCTAATGGCCGATTGCTCCAGGCTCGTATCTTGTTTTAGAATACCTTCATACTCAGCTGTTTTTTTGGACCTGACGCGAATTTTCACTTGAGTAAATTTTTACTTTACGCGCAGCACTGTAGCATGTTCGTTGACGATTCCATCATTTAACGGATTTTTCTCCGAAAGGGATTGGCTCAGACAAGGGGTGCTGTGCAACTGACGAGGCTGCGAGGCCGAAACACATGTATTGCACTGTATAAGTGCCCATAGAAGACCTCATAGAACGCTCTCTAATGCATTGTCAGATTATATTGTTTTGAGCGAGGTCTGAAAAAACAGTTAACTATGAATAGATAGATTATCTTTTACGAAAATGTTGCACGTGCTGCCATTCCGTAAAGAAACAGAACGAAGAAATTTTTTTATTTACTTGACCGCCTCTTGCGTGGTATGATCTCACGATATACCCAATAATGTAGAGCGCTGTGCAAAAACATTTGCGTCAGCCGGGATTCGAACACAGATAGATCTCACTCTTGCCGGGAGCGTGTGCTAAACCGTTGCGCCACCAACGCTCATTTCGCACTGCACTTGACCGCAAGAGGCGGTCAAATAAATAAACTCCGATTGATTATTGATAACGAATATCTGTCAGCGTAAGTGGGTCCAATGCCGATAGCGGCTGCCCTGCCAGACCGTCGACGGTTGGCTGTTGACAGATATCACGTTGTAGCGTAGAAAGAATGGAGTGCGAAATGGGCGTTGGTCGTTCAACGGTGCAGCACACTCTCCCGGAAAGAGTGAGGTTTGGGTTCAAATCCCGGCTGACGCAAACAGTTTTGCACATCACTAAACATCATTGGCGTATATCTATAACATCATAGCACCGCTAAAAGCGGTAAAACAAAAAGAATTCTGCTTGGTCATTCAAAACAAACCGATTTGGTGCTTCTGAAGTTGGCTTGGCAATCACCACCGACATCGCTCTACTCTCTACATCATTGAATTCGCCTGTCATATCGTCTGCAAAGAGCAAAGGGCAGAAAGAGTCGCTCGCTTTAATAGAGACTGAAGCCAATTCAGTAAAGATTATGTCGTAAATAGTAGATGTAACCACATCGCTTGAGCGCTTGTCACCGTAGCGCAGTAATTGCATCTTCGTTGACACTAAAACACGAAAATGTCCCCCTATAGAGAGGATAAGATGGACCATGATCTCAGCGTTGATCAATGCCTGAGTGATGCACCATGCCTTCGATTCCATTCGTAGCATTGTCAAAGGTGAATGCATATCTGGCTTTACAATGACACTCGGTATCCCAGCGATGTATCAAGTTAGTGATGTTGTCCTTCCGAGCTTCCGGGCAAGTCTCAGACAAAGACAATTACTCCGGAGGGAAGGAAGGATCGGTGCGGGATCGAACCAACGACCACGTGCACGTCGCAGGGCACCTCTAATAACCTCGCCCACACATGCCACAAAAGGACTATTATGATCTAACGAATGCCACGGAGCTGATGAATAATTTCAATTCACCGAACGTTTCGACCTCGCCTCGTTTGGCGTTTTTAGTTCGTCAACCTCGTCTTATTAGCTAAAGTATTTACAAAAGAAAAGGTTATTGATTGGTAAGGCCGAGGTTGTGGAAAGGCCGACTTTGAAAAGAGTCACCGACATCATAGCACTATGGCAGACAAGGAAATCAGTGTCACAAATATTCCTAAGATCACTTTTATTGTGAAATAAGTCAATCTCACATTGCCACTGGAATTGCATACATTCATGGACAAATACTTGTTGGTGCAAAAGTAGCAGCGCTTTCAGCAATTGTAATTAGCGGCCAAGACTGCAATTCTACAAATTCTAAAATAAAGTATTTGGTACGAAAAAGTGTTTGGTACTGTGCTACAGCAAGACGTATTTTAAACTCAACGTTATAGTGAAGCTGTTCCATCCTGTGATTTAAAACTGTTTCTTTTCTTTTATAAATCCGGGATGCCATAGCTGTATCTCTTGTCACGTCTTACGTTGAACTTTTACAAATGGCCAGTGAACTTTGAATCGTTGATTTTGAAGAAGGAAAGTGTGTAAAAGACCAAATAACATTTTGCATTTGAATGACTTACGATTTTACATAACTTTTCAATCCTTCCAAATTCGGGATACCGAAGTTGTAGCTGTGCTCTCGCAAACCGACGATTTTCTGAGAATGGCCAATGAACTCTGAAGCTTTAATGAGCGCTTTGGCTCGGAGAAGAAAGTGTGTATAAACACCGAATAACAAAACAGTTTCGCTCCTCTATTTGTCCTATGATTCTATATGAATACCGAAGTTGTAGCTGTGATCTCTCGATTCGACGATCTTTTGCGGATGGTACAAACAAAAATAATAGAACAGTTTATTGCATAGCTTTTACAGTACGATGCACAAATTTATATGAATGCCAGAACCTTTCGAGCCTATTTTGGTCTCTGAATCTTTGACAGATAGTAGTTATGCTATTAAGTCACAAAAGCATGCTTTAGTAGAAAAGGCTACAGTTTTTTCATGAATAAGGAAATCAATAAAAAAATGATGTAAACTGTTTTTGTATTGCTTTCAACTCTTCGAAATGCTGATAACGAGACCTCTAACCTGCTTTAAAAACTAACATTGCCGCAGCGAATGGAGTGCGATAAAGAGCTTTCTCAACTGCGCTTGATTTTTTCAGGAAATCTCGTATCGAGGCAACCTCGATCTGTACGTTACAGGGTCGTCGAATATCATCTTCAATTCGATATATGATCTAACTCAAATTTTTATTCTTAGCGTATAGCAATTTTATTGCAGATATACATCTTAGAACACTGGACGGTTGGCAAAAATTTGACCTTAGTTGTTACCCGAACCCGCGTTTCACCCATATCGAACGCTTGCTATCACTATAACGACAAAAGCACTGCTTCGCACCCACTCTTTCTCAGACATAAAACTATCAAAGCCGTCAGGAATCTAAACTTAGCAGGTTTAGTTTGATAAGCAATTCGGCAGTGAACCAAATGAGCGAAGAGCTTTTCCTACACGAAAGATTCATGAGAAATCTTTTTTCACTGCTCTCTGTCACTTGTACGATGTTACAAATATCGATCTAAGAAAATCAAGCGGCGCGCAGGAATCCGACCTCAGCTGATGCTCGAGCCCGGGTTTCGTCTTTGCCGCGCACCTGCTAGCACTATGACAACGTGTCTTTCTTCGATACAAGCCATCGAAGTTTCCAGCAACCAACCCTCAACGAGTTCGGCCTAGTAAGTACGTAATGACAGTGGACTTCATTGGGCATACGGCGTTCTCACACCTTTCTAGCAGTAGTACGATGCTGTGAATATTCATCTCAAAAGATTGAGCGAACGCAAATCTCCAACCTCAGTTGTACTTGATCACGCGTTTCTCCCTCAGCAGGGGCACGTGCTACCATTACATCATAAAGCTACCACTTTGCAACCACTCTTTCACGCATTTTTGACAAGGAATAAACGCAGGTTTATTTGCTGTTTAAAATAACAATATGGATCGTATGTCCAAATATACAGTGTTTGAAGGAAATTACGTCTATGAGGAACTTGCATGGAGTGAGTACGGAGTTCAGGATAGGAAATTGTCATTCAGCAGAATCTGAAGACACGTCGTGTCACAATCAATCGAGTATTTGTATAGAATGAGAAGGTACGGCCTGTTTTATTCACAGAACGTTGTAGCTTTATATAATCACCACATGAACACTTCAAAGTAAGGTAAAAATTCGCGCACAAAAGATCATGAGCAACAGAAATAGAAAAGACTCATGATTGCCGAATTTTACATCCTGCAAAAGACCAACTTTCTACTTGCATCGGTATGATCATTTCCTTCAAGAGTTGTATCTCCTGTCCTCATTCCGCTCGCACTCCCTGATATTATCTGTGGACCGATATTCAGCCTCAAAAGAAAACTATTGCAAGATAATGACGACATAATGACAACATAACCATAAAACCCATTGAAAGGTAAAAATCCACCCATACAATTATACTGATAGCGAGTGAAAAAGAGAAATCGATTAACTGTTCTTCAAAAATGATGCTGTTCACTGCACGTCATGCCACTTCATCAATAACTCTTAATAGTTTATCGATTGTCAGTAAACTCCTGGAGTTGGATCCTTTTTGATTTATAACCAGACTTCGTCCTGTCGTTCAGTGGGTGTAACTTTTCGATATCCGCATTTATTCCGTACTATGAGCCCATTTTACTACGATCATTTTGGCACTAGACATTCGCACCGTTCACGCCCTCTACGCATTGTTTCTAGTTAAATGCTCTGAAGAGGACTTTCTGTGCCCCTTCTTACCACCTCTCCTAATAACTCCAGTGTTACCACATTCAAGCAGTTGTAAACGTCTAACTGCAAAACGGAGAGAGTTTTTGATGTAGAGATGTGCAAAACTTTCGCGTCAGGCGGGACTCGGACTCACATCTCACTCTATGCAGGAGCGCGTCCTCCAACCCGTTGCACTACTAACACCTATTGTGCTCATCACTCTTTCAACGTCACAAGGCATCTATTTGTCAGCTGCCAATCGTCAACAGCCTGTCCCAGGTACTCAGTATCGACATTGGACCCAGTCACGCTGACAGCTATTGGGTATCGTTGATCAAATGCAACGGGTTAGAGCATGCGCTCCCGGATAGAGTGAGATGTGGGTTTGAGTCCCGCCTGATGCGAAAGTTTTGCACATCACCCTACATCAAAGGGATATTTAAAAATCCATGCCACCGCTCGAAGCGGTTAAATAGAAAGAAATTCATTTGATGATCAGAGACATCTTTGCTGCTCATGTGCTTCCAAAGAGTATCTTCCTTTGTTTTTTACCAACGAAAGTAATCCCTCCACCGCATGATTTGTTTCGGCTTTTGCACCTGACACGTTCAAACAAAAGTTCGATGCTCTTACTTTTTCCTTAAACATTGATAGAGTTATTCTGTTTTCACCTACAGCCCTCGTTAATTTCTACAAAAATTTACAGTTCACGTGTCCAAAGATGAGCTGGGTACTTTTGCGTTACAGAACAGCTCTAGGCGTGAAGCGAATTGTATCCAAAGAATAGTTTCCATAAAAGGTCATATGCATCAGGAAATATAAGTCAGATTGTGAACCGTTTCCAAAGACATATTCAACACTGCTCACTGTTCGATCACACAACCTTCACTGTCTTCTAAGCTTCACCGTCGAAAACGATCGATTGAGCAGATTGTAATCAGTTTGATTTTTAGACTCTAGGGGAGGAAAAGCCTTTGATACTTCAGCCAGTACTGTACTGTGTTTGTGCCCAAACACGTCAGGAAACATGAAGAGGTATCAGCGAGTGATCAAACAGTATGTTGCCATCCAAAATCCTACCGTACTCTCTGATGACGACGGCAGTTGTTCAAAGCCATGAAATACTGAGGTGCAAGGAACCATTCAAATTCTACCAATTTGATCACGGTTTATGGTAGGAAACTGATGAAACAGACAAATATCTGTTGCGCCTAGGACGAACGATAAGTGGGAAAAAGCATTCTACTCTTGCAAGATATACGACAGAAATAGAAAGTAAAAACTGGAAGTAAAGTAGTTTTTGTAGCTTTCCTATTGGAGGCGGATTCTCGGAACGTATTGGCGTCTCCCTCATTAAAAATGCTTGAATATATTTCCTCAGTAACATGTCGCTTTTGTTTGTAGAAACAAAGTGTTCTGAACATCCAAACATCATTACAAACTGTTTACGAAACCCGCGCGAAAGTTCAAAGATTGAGCTACTATTTTTGAAGT